AGAGAGAGAGAGAGAGAGAGAGAGAGAGAGAGAGAGAGAGAGAGAGAGAGAGAGAGAGAGAGAGAGAGAGTTGCAGAGAAGTCCTTAAAAAATACTAAAGCTTTCAATCTGTCTCATTCAATCATTTACGTTTTTAATAATCAAAGAGAAACTTGGCCTTAATTCATTTTTTGAAACGGAGATGAACGTATTATGTTAAATAAGCCTACATATCAAACAATTTCCGTCACAAAACTATTATACGTCATCTTTCTAATCATCAATATTAGTCATGAAATTTAATAACAAATTTATCGAAACGTTTCAAACGCATAACAACACGCATCGAAATTTTCATAGAGTAATAAAATTGTCTTAGACCTGTCTATTTCCTTGTTTGTCGCGTCAACACATCTCACAACTGATTCGAGAAGAATGCATTTTATCTCAAATAGCACTTGAGATGTACTAGGTTTGTTCATCCATTTATACAATAACATCTTGTCAAACAGATATATTGGATAGATATTTATCTTATTGATTCGTCTACCCCCTGCGACAGATTGCCGTATTTTGAATGCCAAAAACCTAGCAAAACTTTATAATAGAAGACTAAGCCTTTCTCATTTGATTTTGATAACAAAGCTGACACACACACACACACAAATCACACATTAAAATTTAGCAAAGATATTTGCCGGAGCTAAGAGCAATTTCTATAGTTCAAAGATATAGAATAATCAGAAGTAATACTCATCTGTGACACTTTGATCAAAAAAAGGAGAAGCACAATATGCCTAACATAATATTGATATTCAATCAGTTCAAATAACGATAATGATATAATCTATTCAATAATATTTTGATGAAATAAATTCTTAAACGAAAAGAAAAACACATTGAGCACTAGCAACATAAGCTATCGGTTCCAATTTATAAAAGTACATTAGATATTGAGTCTAGTAGTTTTGATAAAGGAATATATTGTATTGATATTCGGCTCTGTAACTGACTGTAGAATAGTCCATAAAGTTAATCGTTCCGAATGCAATATTTCTAGCCAAGGTTAAGTTAAGGCGACTGCCTGCAGATAATGTCCTTTATAATGAGAATTTGTCCACAATTGCAGGTAGGGGAGGAAGACTTCTTCAAGATCCATTGATGAGTTGCAATTGTATGACCAAAGCGAACTCTCAAAAATGTTTGGATCTTGATTTTCTCAACATTTGTTGTATATAATGGTTATGTTAATTGAGGGTTAATAAAAGCGTAGTGCTGATGATGGTCTTGTAGATTTCCTTCTATCATTTTCTCTTTAACATTTCTGCCAATGCATTTTTGAAGATCCAACTTTTCCATGACATCATCCATAATTAGAGATAGCAGTAGCGGTATACTTCGCCACTTGTCGCTTAATAGAACTGGATATGTGAAGCTTTATTCATTTTTGAATTTAACACAAAGTTTAGACATTTTCGGGTGAAATTCACTTTCACTCACATTATAACAAGCCCTTACCACAGAGTGGCATAGAATATATTAAGATTGGGCGCAAATGTATTTAACATTTAGAAAAATTTACGATAAATCTATTTTTTTATTTTCCGGATTCATTCAAACAATCTAAACTTGTCTGTCCGTCTGACATTAAGAGTGTTTATAAGTCATAATCAAAATATCATTATAAAGGTAATTGAATAAAAATGACGTATATCATAGTTGGATCAATTTTTTCGACTCCATCTCACAAGTGTAAAATTTTAATTATAATATTTTATTGTGAAAATAAAAGAACTAGACAAAGTTGTATAGGGTATTTAATAGTCAGCCTTAATCGAATGTTTTTCTAAGTATTTTTTTTTCTTAATACGAAACGTATACTTATTATATTATTATTGTATTTTAAAATGCCTACCTAGCAAAGTGATTGTGATAAAGATTTGCTTGAAAATCGCAAGAATTCTTTTATTAAATCATCTTTACTTGCCGGACCAAAGATTCTTAATGCGAATTGTTATTACTTGTATGTTTGAACTCAACCCAACCCAAGAATATTGCTAATAAGTGAATGAAGTGAATGACGTACTTCCCCTTTTCCCCCCCCCCCTTCTCATGCACTTTTATAATTAAAGCAACTTCACCTTTTAAGCGTTAAATGTAGAAAATTTAGTTCTAAGTGAATTTTAATTCGTTTAAAATATATAGTGTGCGAAGTGTATAATTAATTTCTTTTTTCCTTTCCTCTTTATACATTTATATATTTCACTTAATTAAGGCAAAACCTATTACGAAAAGTGCTTTTCTATTTTGTTCATCGTAGAAAAGCTTTTAATTTCAGTCGGACGTGCTTCTAATATTCATGGACAATCAATTCCGTTGATATACGCATATGTTTGCAATTCTACGTTGTAAAGTAAATATGGTTTATACGTATAATGGAGAAAAAAGTAAACTTTTTTTTTTTTGTTTTTTTTTTTTTTTCGTTGTAAAACATATACGCATTAATACTAAGCTGTTTGTTTTTAAATTTTTTACATCAATCTGAAACATTTAATATATATGCTTTTAAATCGAAATATGATTTTTATAAATATCATAAAGATTCCATTAGTTAAGAGAATAATACCATAGAAAAAGGCTAGTCATCTAAACCATACATAATCTGTCCCTCATTTATAGATTTTTTTCCTATTCGGTGAAATTTTCATAATTTTATGAATTACGAAAAATTATTCTATTGCACACTCACTATTCATTCGATTTTATATATAAATTATTTATCCTCAATGACATATGCACTTTTTTTTCACATTCTTCCGTTGAAAAATTATGAAATATTATTATGATTAATGATTACAATCCACATATGCATATGTTATGCACATAAACAAATTCGTTTATTAAGGCGAAAAACAAATAAAATTATTATAGCGTCCCATGGCGTCCCATCATTAAATGCCCTACGTTACTTGGCGAGAGATTTTACATGAGAAGGAGTCAAAAAATTTATTCGATCCGAACCATATAGCAATGGTATTCGTCTTTGGGGCATAGCATATCGGTGTATAAAATTTACTACGAAATAACTTAAAAATGCTCACCTGAGCGTTGAAAATGAGAAAAAAAGACAGGCAGACAGGCAGACAGGCAGTCAGATAGACAGACAAGCTTAGATCGATTCAGAAAGTGATTCTGATTCTGATTCGGATTCAATCGGTATAAGAAAAAGTAGATCTATCTTAAGTTCTTCTGTGTGTTGCATACATCCGCACAAACTTAATATGCTCTTGTATAACAAGTGATGTCGGAATATAAACAAAGTAGACGAAGAATTATGCTTAGCTTCGATTGAAATTTCTCAAGCCCACGATGAACTAGTATTATTAGTATGATCTTCCATTAACTATGATTATGCTATGAATGCATTTCGTTACTTATTGATAAATATCATAATTGTATAATTGATTGCTGAGGATCAGTTCGCTCGAAATACATTGTATATTCTATCTATGGTATATATTCATTCCATTGTATATCCTTCAGATTTTTTAGGGTGAGACAAAATCGAAAAAAATTACGCCAAAGTCACTAAAAAAATCAAGCTGATCTTAATAATTTTCTTCGATTATGATGGTGATGTTGTACATTATGAATTCCTTCCGCGGGTCAAAGTGTTAACAAGTAATAATATTTGAGTGTTTTGCAACGCGATAAAGACGCCGATGTACTAAGAGAAAATTGAATTGATCCTATTTTTTGATCACGGCACTTGAAGAAAGATGAAAATGAATGAATAGAAAACTTGGATCGGATTGGAGATAATTACTTTCTTTTCTTTTTTTTTTTTTTTTTCATAGCAAATATAAAAATTTACATTAAAACAAATTGTGATTTTTGGAAGTTCAGCGTCATGCTGGAAAATGAAGGCAGAATAGTTTGCTGTGCTAAATGCGTGCCACATTAGCCTATTTCTTAAAGTCAGTTCTATAGCGTATATAGCTTATATAGCCTATATAGGTCTTCTCATGGAAAATAAATTAATATACGATAGGATGTAATTTACATAAGTATTTTACGCACGTATCGAAGTATCGTGTAGAGTATATCATTGAGAATCTTGCTTGACTACAACAC